CGTCGTGTTTGGAACAGGCTAGGCATAGCTTCAACGGACGAGAAGTACATTAAGAGAAAGAATAACAGAAAATAAAAAATAATAACTTGTGGTTTAAATAAAAAAAATTTAATATTTTTTAAATAAAATTTTAAATTTAAATCTTATAAATAAAAAATATTAAGAGAAATTTTCTTTTATGAAGTCTAAACGTAATTTCATTCATAATTAATTAGATTTAATGTAATTTTTAAATATAAAAAAATTAACCAAATAATTAGATTTAATGTAATTTTTAAATATAAAAAAATTAACCAAAAGAAAAAAAACAGAGAACAAATTGGTGTATTTATTTTTACTTGGTCAGCAAATGTTTGATTTTTTAGCAAACTTTTGAACGTCTTATAAATTCTTTAATTTTTATTTTTTTAATATTAAAAAAGTCTCTATTAAGTGTAATTGTGATTTTAGTTTTTTCACTTTAATTTTTATAGATGTTATAACTATCAAAAATAAAAAATAAAAAATAAAAATTCATTTAAGAGGAATTTTAACAACAACAACAAAGATTATAAATTTATTTAATTATATTAAAATTATTTTTATTTTTATTTATTGAATAATTATGATAATATATTATAAAAATATATAAAAATAAATGAATTTGTTATTTAAAATTATAAAATTTATAAAAATTAAAACCAGAAATAAAAAACTACAATGGTGCTAAAGCACCCTAAATTTCTTAAATGTAATGGACTGTCCGCCAGGTATTAGTTGGAGACGCACCAATGCTGATCCGCCACCAAGCTGCCTGACTCCGTGACTCTCCCGCAAAGTGTCTGGTCCAACACTCAGACGTGGCTCTGGATTCCCATCTCCCCATATAAACCATTTCTTCTACAGAAAAAACTCACGATCACAAAGCACAGAGCTTGAAACAATGGCAGGAAGTGGAGTGTTTGCAGAGATAGTGGATAGAGATGGTGTATTCAAGTATTACTCTGATGGGATGTGGAAGACTTCATCATCAGGGAAGTCAGTGCCCATCATCAACCCCACAACTAGAAAGACTTACTTCAAAGTTCAAGGTATAATTCCTATTGTCCCTTCCAAGTCAAGTGAATTGAGGTTGTTCTTGCTAAAGATGTGATCTTTGACAAAGTCTTCAATTGGGTTTTTATCTAATTGTTTCTTTATCTGCCCCATGATTTGGAACAGCTTGTACCCAAGAAGAGGTAAATAAGGTCATGGACACAGCAAAAATAGCTCAGAAATCATGGGCTAGGACTCCACTTTGGAAAAGAGCTGAGTTACTCCATAAAGCAGCTGCAGTGTTGAAAGAGCACAAAGCTCCCATTGCAGAGTGCCTTGTCAAAGAGATTGCAAAACCAGCTAAGGATGCAGTGACAGAAGTATGTAAAGAATTTTTCTTTCTATTTGTATAAAGACTATTTGAAATTTGACATTGTCTGATGAACATTCTGAGATTACCGTTCTGGTGAACCAACTCCTTGAAATTTGATAAGACTTTCAGATTGCTGATTGATTTATTTCCTTCTATTTTTTTCTGTTTTTTGTTGCTTATTATGGTGTGATTTTGGCTTCCATCATGTTAAGGTTGTTAGGTCAGGTGATTTGGTGTCATACTGTGCTGAAGAAGGTGTTAGGATTCTTGGAGAAGGAAAGTTTCTGGTATCTGATAGTTTTCCAGGAAATGAAAGGACCAAGTATTGCCTCACATCAAAGGTAATTCATTTATCTTTTCCATTTTTTTAGTTTTTCTTATGGGCTCTTTAGGCATGTTGGAATAGCAGTACTTTGATAAATGCACTCTCAGTTAATTGGCTCCTCACACGGTTTTGTTAAGCCTGAGGTATTCTCCCAACTTCCAAAGGGTATATTATAATATGTACAGGAATATCCAGTGGAATCATTGACCAAACACAAGTGACTATATTATATACATGGAATGCCCCTCCACCATAAATATGTTTAAAATATTAAATTCCATGTTGTTTTTCATGACACGTATCCAAACATCAGCTTATGCATATATGTCAGCTGGTGGTTAGGTTCTATTTATTTATTTATTCCATGAAAACTTTCTTATGGTGTGTTAGGTTTGAAAATGAAATGGAGTTCATTTCATTTGAAAATGAATTTACCTAAGAATTCAATTAGAAGTGAATTCTCATGTTTTAAAATTTTAGTTTATTGTTCTTTCCCAGCCTTAATGCTCATTTTTAGGATGTTCGAAGGAGTGATTTGTAATTAGCTTACGCATATACATCAGCTGGTGCCGTGACTTGGTTAGGTTATTTTTATTTTATTTTTATTTTCCAGCCTTGATGCTCATTTTTAAGACATTCAAAGGAGTGATCTTTCTAATGGTAGTAGATGTCCACATGGTAGTGTATGTGCGCTCTATTTATTCCATGAAGAGTTATCTCTGTGTTTCTTTGTCAGCATGCTAAAAACCTCATGAAAAGTGCTTGAGGTGATGTAGAGTGCTGGTGGTGAGAGAAGAGCTATATTCTTTATGGTCAAATGAATACAACACCCCCCCCCCAACCACAAAAAAAAAAGAAAGAAGAATTGGGAGGAAAGAATGGAATGGAAGACGGTTGAGCAGAAAGTTCTTCATGTGAACTAGTTCCTAGTCTAGCTACAAATTTCTTCAAGTCTTAACCAAATTGAAACTAAGTTATTATTTATTAATCAATAGATAGATTGACCTCTTGGATTGTGTTCCTCATGCAAAAAGCTGTAGTGAAACCCAAAATTGTCACCTTATCAGTTTTGGTGTTTTTATTTGTTATTTTGATTTAATAGATGCATATATATTGTATTTTTTGGAAAAGTGATACTCAGGGAAACTATAATGAAATGCTGAGGTAGGTTTGAATGGTATATTGATCTCCATTTGGATGATCTTGCCATACTTCCCATCCATGTGCACAATAACCACAAAAGCACACACTCCTGAACATATGCCATTATTACATCTTTCCCGTCCTCCATTCTCAAAAGAGATATGTTTCTCATGATTAAGATCTTACATATTTCATCATATTGATTCTGAACCTTGTGAATTCAAAGCATTTTCTTTTACATGTGCCATAGCTGATGTAGGGTTTGATTTGTTTCTAAATGCAGATACCCTTGGGAGTTGTTTTGGCCATTCCACCCTTCAACTATCCTGTTAATCTTGCTGTTTCAAAAATTGCCCCTGCACTTATTGCTGGGAATTCTCTTGTACTGAAGCCTCCAACCCAGGTATGAATTTAACCTTTATATAATTTCACTTTGTGTTAATATACTTACCATGTTCCTCCAACTTTGACTTTAGTTTATTGACAGCTATTTTTATGGATGAACTACTCTTGAGATTAGGGTCTTACTCTATGTAGGGTGCCGTAGCTGCACTTCACATGGTTCATTGCTTTCATTTGGCTGGTTTCCCCAAAGGTCTAATCAGCTGTGTTACGGGAAAAGGTTCTGAGATTGGTGACTTCCTTACAATGCATCCTGGGGTCAACTGTATTAGGTAATTTTTTAAATACATTCACTCAATAAATTTCATTGGTTGATGTACTTCTTATTGTAGAAATATATATTTTCCATTTTGTGCCACTGCATATGAGAAAACAGACGTGGTAAACCAAAATAAGCATATTCAAGTTTCACCTTTTCAATTCTTGGTCGAATATGGAACTATACTTGAGCTGTGGAATGCAATGACCAATTCTATTTGAAAGTCAGACAAATATAACAAGCTTACTTATTCAGCTCTTTTTCTTATTGCATGTCGATTTGTTTCTAACAATCATACTTGTTCAGCTTCACAGGTGGAGATACTGGTATTGCAATTTCAAAGAAGGCAGGCATGATTCCTCTTCAGATGGAGTTAGGTGGAAAGGATGCTTGTATCATCCTTGAAGATGCGGATTTGGATTTAGCAGCAGTTAACATTGTGAAAGGAGGTTTCTCATACAGGTGAGAGAAACCATCTGGGAATGCTACCACCTCCCATTGTCTCTATTTGTCAAGACACCAATAAGTCAATTCTCATTCTTCATTTTGATTTTAACTTGGGGATTGAGTTATTCATATCTCATCGCATTTACTAATATTCTGCTACTTGTTAGATTTTAGTATGTAACTGATTAAGTTGTTGAAAGCTAGTAACATAACTTGCCTTTATTTTACAACAAAGCTCAAGCATTAGATGCAGCCTCTGCCTCAATGCTTCTGTCCCTCTTCCACACAAATGTTTAAGCATATGCATATACACACACACTAGCATCTGTTTGTGTTAGGGCACCTGCATTGTTTGGAAGAAAGGGGATATCCTGAATTTTCCTTAATATTGTACTTACTTCTGTCAATGAAAAGAAGATGCAGTTAATAACAAGTTCCTAAATGTATCCAAGATGCAGTTAATTTGGTATGTTATTATGACTGTCTTGTGTGTAATACTTTTTCTGCAGATGTGTTGACATTTGCTAATTTTTTATTCTCATTTTCTCAGTGGTCAAAGATGCACAGCTGTGAAGGTTGTCTTGGTCATGGAATCTGTGGCCGATGCTCTTGTTGAGAAAGTTAAAGCTAAAGTTGCAAAACTGACTGTTGGGTCACCGGAGGATGACTGTGACATCACCCCAGTTGTTACAGAATCCTCTGCTAACTTCATTGAGGGGTTAGTAATGGATGCCAAGCAGAAAGGGGCTACATTCTGCCAAGAGTACAAGAGGGAAGGCAACCTTATATGGCCACTGTTGTTGGATCATGTTCGACCTGATATGAGAATAGCCTGGGAGGAGCCCTTTGGACCAGTTCTGCCAGTAATCAGGATATCCTCAGTTGAAGAAGGAATCCATCACTGTAATGCAAGCAATTTTGGTCTTCAGGTTTGTCATTAATCACTCTTGATTGATTTCAGAGGTTCATGTTGCATCAAACCTGTTTCTTCAAATTTCCTGTCATGTTCAAGTCTTCAAGTTGAATTAGCTGAATTTGCAAAATTTTACATTGAATGTCTAATTTGTGTGTGGTTACAGGGTTGCATCTTTACAAGAGATATAAACAAAGCAATTCTAATTAGTGATGCTATGGAGACTGGAACAGTGCAGATTAATTCCGCTCCAGCACGTGGGCCAGATCATTTTCCTTTCCAGGTGACAATTCCACTTATGTTTGTTGCTTGCTAGCCATGACATGAAATTTCCTACTTCTGATGTTTGGAGTAACATTAAAAGAAAAAGAAAATAAAAATAAATAATAAATAAAAGAACTTGAAAGATTATCAAGAAGCTTTTCCTGCATGCTGGTCACTGGCTAACAGCTTAACCATTGGGATGTGGCAGGGTCTGAAGGACAGTGGCATTGGTTCCCAAGGAATCACCAACAGTATCAATATGATGACAAAGATCAAGAGCACTGTGATTAACTTACCAACACCGTCTTACACAATGGGTTAAAACAGGCATGAAGCAATTGCTTACTTGTTATATCTATGTCCATTCGAGTATATTTCACAAATAAAATGTCTTCCTGAGTTGCTATCAAAGTCAAGTCATCGGCAAAATGGGGTTCTCTTGCTTTTTCTGGTTCCTTGCAAGGGAAGCAGGGGGATGAGTCATCTTCACTCGCACCTGTTGTAATGTTCTTTCTGCCTTGTTAGTAATAGGAAGGCCTTTAGTGATAGAGAATGTTAAAACCTTGACTTTAACGACGGATATTGGGACATTCACGTTGATGAAAGTTTACTGTGATAAATAAAGTCTTTTTCCATGTGTGTGTGCATGCATGCACAGAAATAAATATAGATTGGCTATATTATGATATTTCAGAAGTTACTAATGTCTCAAGAGTTGCAGGTATAACATATCCTAAGTCCCTAATCAACTAAGATGGAAGACATCCAATTCATTTTATCTTCTCCTCTTATAACTTGCTTAAAACTTGATTATTGAAAATGATTTGCATGAAACACATCCATTAATTGATTGTGGTTTAATAAGATTTAAACTATATCGGTAGTTGAACTGAGTATTTATGTGTAAATATCAAATCTTATTTAAACATTTATATATTTCAAATATTGATATAATGACATATATTATACATGTAATATTATGAGTTCATTTAAATACGTCATAATTAATACAATCTCATAAGAGCGATATATAAAATTATAATTACGCATACCTACCAATATCAATTAACCATATAGTAATACATCTCATTGAAAATTTACACTTAAAAATCCACAATGTTTTAATGTCTAGTGACATTTCCATATTTCTATTATTTTCAAGTCACGACACATATGGACCAATAAACCACATTTTTTATATAAACAAATGGGACATATATTGTAATGAGTAGGGTCCTCGGAGCAATATTTCCTATTAATTATATTATTTTTAAAATTTTTCGGACAGCACCAGTTGAAAAAATCGAAACCACAATTTAAAGCTGGAATACAAATGTCCGGAAATTCTAAAAAATCCAGGGGCATAACTGTAAAAAAGCAATCATGCAATCATATAAAAGGCAATTGGACTGTCACTTTAACCATATATAAATATAATACCCAATTTTATTGTATTTACCTCATCATTAGCTAAGCTTATCTTTTACACGGTTTTATAATTATGGAAAGCGCAAAAAGAATATGTTTATCCCATTATTATTTTTTAATTATTAAAATGAATTTTTATATTTTTTTATATTAAGTTGGGTACGTTAAATTTTCTTTGACACCTTATAAAAAATATCATATCATTTAAAGAGATTGGATAAGAGTGCCAAATCAGTATGAGCTTAATTGGTATTCTATTTATTTATTTTTATTGGATTTAATTTAATTTTAAAATTTTTTAAAATATAAATTTTAAATAAAATTTTAATATATTATATAAATAATTATTGATTTTTTTTTATCAATTTATAGTACTCGATAAGAATTTTCTATAAAAACAAAAAGTTTTTTAATTATTATTTATATAAGTTAAAATTTAATTTAAAACTTATGTGTAAAAAAATTAAAAAATCAAATTAGATCAATTAAAAATGAAACAGAGAATATTAAAGAGGAAAGGTTGAATTATAATGTATGATTATATTTTTTTCATTAAATTTTAACTAATTTATTTCTAACAAAATATATAAAAACTAATTTTATTTAACATAAAAGTTTGAAGGTAAATTTAACCCTTTTTTAAATATAAGATATATTTCAATAATAACTAAAGTAGAGGGTCAGGTAGACTCTTTTCCCCTATCTTCGTCCAACTTGCCTAATGAATTTTGTAGGCTCACTTACCTTATTTTATCTTTAGACGTATTTAGTTACTTTATTTTTAAAATGTATTTTTAAGAAATCTGGCTCAATAATTTATGCCCCTTTATGTTTATTTCATTTTTATGTTGCAAATTCTTTTGTCATTAAAAAGATGCCTACATATTGTAATGGTGTTTCTTTATTGATTATTTAATAATGAAAATTTTATTATAAATCTTATAATGTATTATTCTTATACCATTAAATATATATATATAAAAATTCACACATCTCACTTAAACAAAAAAGTTAATAAAAAATTTAAATTATAAAAATTCATTGTCAATAAATTATTCTTTTAAAATGAAATTAATTTATTTTTATTTTAATTTATTTTTTATTTTGGTTGTACAATGAGAAATAATTATTTCTCGTTCTTTATACCACTTTATCCGCATGTTATGCGAGTCAAATTGAGAATATTTTATTCTCAATGAAAAAAATAATTGCTAAATTATTTTGATGATTAGCAAAATAAATAAAATTAATTTTAAAAGTCCTTTCAAAAAAATCTGGACGTGTGGAAAATTGAAATAAGCTCCATAAATAGGTTTTCCAAATATAGTATGAAAATTTCTATTTAACCAATTTCGTCTCTTACCATTTATGCCAATGTAAATCAACGGCGTACAAAGCTCGAGTGGACTCCACCCTAATAGATCAACGGCGGATTTCAAGCCTTAGGTTCAACTCCAGTTAATAAACCACAGCTAAATCCGAAAGTTGGCTCCACTGGATTCTTCTTTAAATATGTCGGGTCTGGGAACATTACAAAGACCCATTGAAAGTAGAAAACCCAAAAACACACAAAAAAAACTTTTTATATAAAATTTTGCTTTTTACAGTATTCTCCCTGCCAAAAAAATTTTTTATAACAAAAAAATATCTCCCTTTTTTTATTTTCTCTCTCTAAAAAAACCCTAACTTTCTCCCTCTAAAATCCCGTTTTGTTCTTGCTGAAATCTGTTTTCTCTACCTTGAATTTAGATTTTCATTCATGGTGTAAAATTTTGGGGAGAGGTGTGTGAGGTTGTTAGGGATCTAGAGTATATCTGTTTAGGTTTTTTTTTTTTGGTTTTTTGCAGAGTGTAGCCATGGCATCTTCGGATACAGAGCTTGCAGAACAGCTGAAGGAAGCTGGGAACATGCTCATGTCTCCTCCTCCTTCGGTTGATGAGCTTCTCCCTCTTCTGGATGTAAGCCCTAATCTAGACACTCGTCTTCTCCGTTTTTGTGATACTCTGTGTCTTGCTGTTGTTCTTGATATATTTGAAATTTTATGCATTTTTGGTTTATTGGATTTTTCTTTGATTGTGATAGCGTTGTGATTTGCTGATTCCAGTTTTCTTGTTTGCCTCATGTCTCTGGTTTTGCATGCGTATTTCTTTGATGAATTCTGGTTCTGATAAATAGTGCTGGTGATTTGAATTACCTTAACATGTTTAGTTCAGGGAGTCTGGATAGTGGTTGTTGTGTTTGAGTGTGATTTCATTCTAGCACATGTGTGAAGATGTGATTGTGAATGATTTACTAGTCTCTTCTGTGCTAGATTGTTGTGTTCTTGGACGTGGAAATTTCATTGGTAGGGTAAGGACTGTTTCTGTTATGATATTCCTGGCTTATGAGTTATTTTGAATTTAAAAAAGCGCGGGAGCTAACGGCATATACCTGTTTTTGGCCTATCGGTTTCTCAGTTATACGCGGCGCATTGTTTTTTATTCTACTTAAGTAAAATGCCATATCGGTCTTAAGTTTGTAAGGTCTGGCTGTCTATTATAATTTACATTTTATTTCATGTTTTGTACTTACTAAACACTATCAATCTTCGGTTATTAATATTTAAAAGGTAATTTCTTTAATGAAATGCCGTTGGTCACTTATATCCATTAAAGATGTGTTAATACCCGAGATGTAGTGAGAGCTTAAAAGATCTTAATTCCATGTTGTCCCTAGGCTTATAATGCAGAAAAGGAATATTCTTTTTGAAAATTTCCTAAAAGAAAAGCTGAGCTGGATACACTGGATTTTGCCTTGGCATTTTTATTACTCTCGAGAGGCATATATGTTAGGTCCTTGATTCCTTGTAGGAAATCTTGTGTCCCTTCATCAAAGGGATGGAAAGAGAATGAGGTTATTTTATAATGAACATTGTTAAGCAGTTTTGTTATTTCTTTCCTCACCCCCAACAAAGGTTCTACCCACCTATTGAATTCATCTCTTAGTATCCATCCCTTACAAATTATGGATAAGAAGTGAAGTTTAAGAAATATTATTAATTATAATGTAAATCCAAGTTTTTGGGAAACCAGGTCTTATCCTGGAGCATGGACTGTCTATTTGTGTCCATTTATGGGTGAATCTTTGACATGTCAGATTTGGGTATGAGAACTAAACAAGAAGAAATGCAACTTGAGATTAGAGAGTATGTTGCTTGTTGAATAGATGGCAAAGCAATGTGTATTGCAATTATTTTGTAATGCATGCAACTGATTTTTACATAGTTGCATGAACATTATGGTGTTCAATTTTTCTCTTGTTCCTTGCCATGGAAAATTGCTGAATAAGCATTTTTTCTTGTTTGAATTTTAAGTATGCTTCTCTTATATTGTTATCAGTGTGCAGAAATTTCACAAGTAGTCATAGATGTCATGGAGAATCATGACAACTAATGGTCTTTTTGAGTATAATTTCTTCAGTTTTACTTTGGTTGTGCCTTAAGCTAATGCTTTAAATGGATAAGATTACTCACACTTATTGAATCCTTTTATATTGGTAATAACTATTTTCTTTAGTTGCCTATATTCTTACATAATCCTTTATCTGTCTATTTTCCCTGTGACTCTAGCAAGTAGAGAATTGTCTTTCAAGAGTGGAACAGTCACCTAATACTCCCATGCAAGATGCAATCTCTCCATCACTAAAAGCGCTGGTCACAGAGCAACTTTTCAGGCATCAAGATGCTGACGTCAAAGCTGCAGTGGCATCGTGCATTAGTGAGATAACAAGAATAACTGCACCAGAAGCTCCGTACGATGATGACAAAATGAAGGTATTATTAACTTAGTGATTTTGACAATTTGAAGTGCTTAGATTTTTTTTTAAAATTTTTGTTTGGGATGAAATGCATTTTCCATTGATCATTTGATATGTTTGCAGGAGGTCTTTCAGTTGATTGTATCATCGTTTGAGAATTTGTTTGACAGCACTAATCGCTCATATTCTAAGAGAACCTCGATTCTTGAAACTGTTGCGAAGGTCAGGTCCTGCGTGGTGATGCTGGATCTTGAATGCGATGCACTGATTATTGAAATGTTCCAGCATTTTCTAAAGTCAATACGGTAAGTACTAGTATCTTCAGGTTAGGGGTCAACAATGTTACTAATGTTTATTAATTTTAAATATATTTTCTGCAAATCTGTCTAAATTTCTGAATTTTGCTTCTGCAAACAAAAATTATTAAGTGTTGTTTGACACAGGTTCATATATGTCCATCTTCCTGTTCATGGTGCAATATGTTATGTGTAATATGTTTAGTCTCTGATATATTTAGACAAAGAAGATGTGTATGACAAACAGTTATAATGAGAATGGTTTAGAGTGTTGTACACTAATGAGCTTTTTGTCGATTCCATGATGTTTCTTTCTGTTGGTTTTTCAGAGATTATCACCCAGAGAATGTCTTTCAATCCATGGAGACAATTATGACTCTTGTTCTAGAAGAAAGCGAAGACATCTCTACGGAGCTACTCTCTCCATTATTAGCTAGTGTCAAAAAGGACGATGAGGTTTGTTATCATTAAGTGACCCATTTTCTTCTAGTCTCTTTGATTTTGTTAGGTTGACTGAGCACTTGAACTACTTTACAGGAAGTCTTGCCTGTTGCTCGAAAATTGGCAGAGAAAGTGCTTGAGAGCTGTGCTACTAAGCTTAAACCTTATCTGACACAAGCAGTGAATAAGTTAGGCATTTCATTTGATGATTATAGTGAAGTAGTTTCTTCTATATGCCACCAAGAGTCATCTGATGCTGTTGAGCAGAATGATGCAACTGCAAATGAACCTGTGGTGAGCTTCCCATTAGTGCTGAAATTTCTTTTTGAGAATAAGGATTTGGTAACTGTTTCTGTGTGCCTGCCATTTTGCATGAATTGTCAATAAATTTTGTTTGTATGTTTAATTGCTAAGAGTTATGTAGTTTCCATTTTTGTGGAGAGAAATATAGAGTAAATTTTCTTCTCAGTTAAACTTTACCATGGTTCGCTCTCCTTTTTTCTTCTCTCACTGATTTACCTTATTTTAATCAATAATTTAAGTATACTGATTATTTCTTCTGTGTTATCTAATGTTTTCATCTGATTGTTACTCTGTGCTCTGTTATCCTTGTTCCAAGTGCATAGCTCTTCCCAGGACTAGTACAATGCCCAGAATGATCCTTTGGGATTTAAACTTGGAGGCCTTGTTTTTTTCTCTTTGGTCATCTGCTTTTAGATCTTGTTCACAATGGCCCTTAGAACATCATCTTGAGTGGCTTGGAAATGAGTAGTGATTCTTTTATTTGCCCTTTTGTGATGTGATTTAGTATGTTGACCTTGTTAATAACATTGATTGTAGGCTGATGATGCGAAGCCAGCTGAGGAAGCTTTGGATGAGAAAACACAGGCATGTTTCTTCGAGAATTAAATACAGTGCTCTCTTTCTTAATCTCTCATTCAAGTTCTTAATTTTACCAGGTTTTGTTGTTAGAATTTAAGGTTCAAAATCCCTCATGTAAATTCTTGAATGTTTAATCAGGAGGATAAAGAGATTTCTGGG